TATAGAGACCTTACTCCTCCTCTGAGGCCTGCACATCTGCGCCTCCCCTCCTCTCCTCGGGGACCCTCGCGTTTCAGAGCAGCCCACTCTTCCCCCCCAGCAACTCCTTCCTTCTCAGAATCTCCCTTGGCCCTCAAAGCTGCATCAACACCCCCACCCCCTTCATCTCCACAAGCCGGCCACCGCCCGCTGCTCAGTCCCCTAATGCTGGAAGCTTTCCACGAGGCTCACAGCGTATGGTGACGGTGGCTGCGAGGTCAGAAGTGAGCGGTTTTCTCAGCTGTAGACGTTCGTTCGATTCACCTTTCAAGGTCTGGTTTGAGCATGACCGCTCTCTTGTTTATTGCTTCTCTTGCTCTGCAGCATTCCAGGTCCAGAAAACGCTACCACATGGTTACTTAAAGAATGGATACTTCCAGAAGACCTACGCTGAGGTGCACCTCAAGACAGCACCTCCTCCTGCGAGAAAAGGAACAGGCTGGACAGGAATTACTTATCCGACTTCATGGGACTGCCTGGAGCCTGTGTGCTGTGAGGGCAGGCTCCAGGTGCAGGCTCGTAAAAGGTCCTCAGCCTGGCTGCCAACCCTTCAGGGTAGGGTTCCCATTGCTGCTGGAGAGGAAATGCAATAACCATCTGGTGCCATTGGATTGGGGGACTCCAAAATAGACAGCAGGGAATGGAAATGAGTGATGGAACCAGTGTAAGAACTACCTCCAAAGCTTCCTGATGAGAGCTGACACTTGGCCCCAGTAAGAGGAAGTTCTAGAACATGGGTGCCAGAGAGAGCGAAGGCCCTGCATGAAAAGGTCAGCTGCTAGCACAGCACTTGTACAGGAGGCCTGAAAATAGTGGATAATTTTGGTCCTCCTTCAGAGAATGGGGTGGGGGCTGGGTGTAGGTGTTTGAAAGCTTCAAACACCAGCAGAGACAAAAACTTTAAGTCAGTCCGGCTGGTGTGGCTCAGTAGTTGAACGTTGACCCATGAACCTGGAGGTCATGGTTCGATTCCTGGTCAGGGCACATGCCCCAGTTGCAGGCTGGATCTCCAGTAGGGGTTGTGCAGGATGCAGCCAATCAGTGATGACTGTCATCCTTGATGCTTCTATCTCTCTCCCCCTCTCCCTATCTCTGAAATGAATTAAAAAAACGTGTTTTTTTTAAACCAAAAAACTTGAAGTCACCTGACAGAGGAGACCTACATGAGAGGGAAAAACTGGTGGGACACAATTCCAAAGGAGACTCAAGGATTCTGAGTTAGAACCTGGAGGAAGCTGATACAAGAGCAGTCAGGTCAGAGCAGGTGAAACACAGATCTGTCTTTTGGAGATCATAGGAGTTGGTTGGCTGCCTCGGTCCTCAAAGTGACACGCCTATCCAACAAACACAGAGCTCCATGGAGGCAAAGACTGCATCATTCACAGGCATGTGCCCAGGCACATGGTGGAAGCTGCTGGCGTGAGTCATCACCTCTGGAGATTCAGGCCCCAGGCCCTGCGATCCATGCTGCCCACCTTGGACCCTGAAGTGACCAGCACCCCAGTTCATTCTTCCCTCTTCACAAAGCTGCCTTAGGGCTGGGCGTTTCCCCAAAGGGAAGCCCAGCCCCATTTAATGTAGGACGTAGATGTTTTCAGTTCTTTGGCAATGCGTACGTTAGTAGCTTTAAGAACTGGGAATCTGATGGGAGGCCTGGTTTCCAATTCAGCTGTTACTGTGTGTGTGAAGTAGGGACATAACCCTATCTCCTCCTTAGGTGGAAGCAGAGAATCCAGAATCTGGCCTACACTATGCCTAGCAGGGTGCCTCTATGAACATCGGAGAGAGACGTGGCTCATCATCAGGGGTCTAGTATGTCTGAGGCCTTTGGGGGATGTGGGATGAGGTGGGAAAAACCAGGTTGAGCTTGTGACCAATTCCACACTTTGTGGGAATCTGAAGCCCTTTCCCCAGGGGCCTCTCTAGTCCCTGGATGCATCTCTGTGCCCTTTCAAAGCTCTGTAACCATGGGCTAGATCTCAGCCTCTCAGAGCCACTGTCCTCACATGAAAATAAGTGTAATACTTGCAGGTGATGATTAAATAATGCATCTAAAATGCTTATCAGTGTTCAGGCAACATTAGAGGAGCTTGAGAAATGGCACCACTCAAATCTTGCACCGTTCCATGGATCCCACTACCCCTGGCCCACAGGTGTGTAGTGTGCAATGGGATGGACACACCTGACTGTTAACCTGGACTCAGACAAAAGGGCAGGCGGCCGAGAGAGGACTCACATGGGCCATGAACTACTCTGGGCTCCAGAGGATGAAGACAGGCAGTTGGCAAGATGGAGGCAGGGGAACATGTGGAGAAGACAGACAAGAGGGAACAGATGCAAGACTCCAAGAAAGATGGAGTAACAGCCAGCCAGAGGGGAATGAGAACAGGGCTGAAGAGATGCCATGTTGAAGGGTCCCTGCCAGGCTAAAGCTGAGGTGGATAGTTCTGGGACATAGTGACTGACAGTTGATGGCAGAAAGTGCTTTGGAGACCTCAGAGGAGAAAGAAAGGTTTACTCCTTAATATGCCCCCCTCAAGTCTAACGGGGACAGGCGAGCCCAGAGGCCTCACAGGGCCATAAACACTGTGCCCCTGAAGAGTCAGCCTCAGGCAGATGGTGCATCCATGATCCATCCTTGTTATTTTAGGCAGTGTGGCCTGAAGGAGTCCTCATCTCCTATTTTTAACACATACCACCACGGACAAGGAAGCAGTCCACAGGGTTTACCAGGGATGTGCAGTAAAACAGAAAAATGTCCGTTAAAAACCCTACAACCTGAGATGATTGAAGAGCCAGATTCCTGGACCCCATCTGACACTCTCCTGGGCACCTGGAGATGACCACATACCCCCAGGCCCTGGAGCAGACAGAGCTGTGTGTCTGGGGAGGTCTGGCAGTGGTGGTGTGCCATCCAGACTGAAAGTCTGCCTTTAATTCTGTCCTTCAAATTGGGTTGAACCAGGCACATCCACAAGTAGTCAGCAGTGTGACCTGGCATTTGCTGTATCCCACTGAAGTCCAGGGCTGGCTAAAGGGTGGAGTCCATCAGGGGGTGGCCATTCTCAGAAAGCATGATGCGAGTGCTGGCGCCTGTCCGGGTGGAGGGTGTGTAGCGGGCAGACTCATGAGAGGACCGGCGGAGGCACAGACAGCAGAGGAGACGGCGGAAGGTGCGGCGCATCTCAGCATCACGGCAGGAGTATACCACAGCATTGACCAGTGAGTTGGCCTCAGCCAAGAGTAGGAAATACTTCTCCACGGCCAGGACATCGCAAGACTTGCAGTCCAGACCGTCTAGGAGCAGCACCACCTGGCCCGGTGTCCAGCAGACCACAAACGCCCCTGTGGGATGGAGCCCAAGGTGAGCAGGGCCAGCTGTCAGAGGGCCTGGCACCCACAGCTCTCAGCTTAGGGCTGGAGGGGTGTCTAGAACTTGGAGGACAGCTGTGATTTGTAGTGCCAGGGAGGCTTGTCTTGATGCCTTGGCAGAGTGATGAGGCAGAACTGCTAAGAGACTATTCTGACTTGTCTGCCAGAAGGGACACCTTTCCTAACTGGTACAGTCTGGCCAGAGCCCTGGACGTTTCTACATGGAGATCTAGTCTACGGGGGAAAGGACGTCACTGTGGGACGGGCCAGTTACTCAGTGGGGAGAAGGTGATCATTGGGAAGAGTCGCTCCTTGTCCTTGTGTGTGTGTGTGGTGGTGGGGTATATACTAATGGGAAGGCCTCTTGCTGCCTGCCCTATCCAGGCCACCCAACATTTCAGTAGCCAGAGTGACCACATTATTCCCTGCTAAAAACTCTCAAAGGCTTCCCACAGATTTCAGAGCAAAATCTGACTTCTGTCTGTGCCCTATGAGGCTGTGCTGACCTCCTCTCCTCTCGGGAAGTGCTGGCCCCGTCCTGCCTGGAACTCCTTTCCCTTCTCTAGCATTTAGGTGTCTGCTCACATATCACCTCCTTGGAGAACCTTCCCCACCCAAATCATCTCCTCCCATCACGATCCTCCATCAGGTCTCGGAGGATTGGGGGAAAGTGGGGTCCCACTCACCCAGGATGATGACAACAGTCTTGACCAGGCTGAGTGTGGTCTCACGGTAGCGGGGGTGGCAGCTGACATGCTCTGCCATGCGCTGCACCCGCCGACGAACATAGAAGAAAATGCGGGTGTAGACAGCCACCATGAGCAGGAAGACAAGCAGGCTGGACAGGGCCCAGACGGCCAGGTAGGAGCGGCTGAGCAGGGGGGCCATGCGTGAGCAGCTGTCCAGAGCACAGAGGCAGTGCCATGAGTGGGCGGGCAGCAGCCCCAGGCCCAGCGCAGCTACCCACACTCCCACAATGAGCATGACCACACGGCCCCGGGGCAAGCGGCTGTGCAGCTGCACAGCCATCACGCTGCGGTGCCGCTCCACGGCAATGGCCAGCAGTGTGGCCACTGATGCAGTCAGGCTTGTGTCTAGCAGACCCTGCCGCACAAACCAGCCCTGCAGTGAGAGCCGTGCTGTGCGTGGGCCAGTGTGAAACATGAGGAAGAGGTAGGCCACACCGGCAAAGAGGTCAGCTGCGGCCAGGTTCCCCAGAAGGTAGTAAATGGGCTGATGGAAGCGGCGGTTGGAGGCGATGGCTGCAATGATCAAAAGGTTGGTTAGCAGCACCAGAACACTGACTGCCAGTCCCAGTGCTACCACAACCACATCCTTGGGCCGCCAGTAGGAGCTCAGCTCCTTGCCACTGTTGTTGTAGAAGAAGCCGATGGTCTCATTGTAGTAGCACTGGCCCATGGTAACCATCTGAGGGGCACAGAGGAAAAGGTCAATGCAAGTGGCACTTGTTGGAAGGACATACATAGAAAGGAGCAGCACACAGAGGACAGGCACAGGACAGGAAGGCCAAGGCTCTCAAACTCAAACGCCTCAGGGCAAAGTGGTGTTATTGGGGACCAGGGTGATCTAGAAAAGCAAGCTCCATGGGTTGTGGGGTGGTGGTGGGACAGCTGTTATTTAAGACTCTCACAAATCAAACAACTGGTTGGGTTTACTTGTTTTCTTTCCAGTTGGTTTTGTTTTGTAACCTAAAGAAACAAAACAAAACCCATCTGCCCACGTGCTGCCAATCTGAGGCCAATCTGTTCCGGTTGGGGGTGGGGGTTAGGGCAGGACAAAGGGGTGTGGGCTGTGAAAGTAGAGGAGGGAGGAGAGAGTAGAGCCTTGGGGGCATGTGTGCTCAGGGTGGGTCACAGTTGGGACCCTGCAGGCGGTGGGTGCTGGGGCCTGGAGGTGACTGGGGAGTCCCGATGGCAGCGAGACAGCCCCAGAAGCCGGGCGGCGGGCTTTGGGCTAGAGCGCTCCCGAAGCGGGAGGCGCGCCGCGCCGTTCGGGGTGGGACGCGGGACCACGGTGGCCTCCTCGACTACGGCGCGGCTGGCGGGGCTTCCCGGACCCCCAGGCTGAGCAGGGGCTTAGGGCAGAAGGGGGCCGCACCCTCC